TAGATTGAGGGAGGGAGGATGGGTAGATGGAGGGTGGATAGGGATGATGGATACATGGATGGAGGGGTGATGGATTCATGGATGGAGAAAGGATGGATGGATGGATGGATGGATGGATGGGAGATGGGAAGGATGATGGTCCCCAGAGCTGCCCAGTCCACTCTGCTGCCCTACCCTGCCTTGAACATGGAAATATGAGCCTCTCTGGGCTTCAGTGCCTGAACCCACACATTGGTTTAGCGTTTTGTACACCTTCCTTGGACCTTGCCACTGCCAAGCACATGCCATATCTAGCAGGGCCTCCCCGCTGCCCCCCCTACTCCCCCAGCCTCTAACCAGTGGCCTGTGACTACAGCTCTGGGCCTGAGGCTGCCCACACCCTGGTCTCCACACCCTCCCTGTAAGAGGGACCACGGAGTCTGATGTTGGGCGAGTGTGCAGGGCCCTCTGTGGTCCCCTCTGGACCAGTCGTTTATCGTCCTTGATTGGTCTCCCCTCCACCCTTGTCCCCAGCCCGAGGCCTGTGGTCTGCAGAGCATGGGAGAGCCCTGGGCAGGGGCCAAGCCGGGTGGGTCTGGGTGGGCCGACCTTCTCCTCCTGGAGCTTCGCTAGGTCCTCACGGTGGGCCAGCGCCCCACTCTCCAGGGCCAACTGCGAGTCCCGTTGCAGCTGTGCCACGTGCCGCCGGAGCTGCTCCAGGTCCCACTGCAGCTGGGTCTCCCGGAGCTCCCCCGAGCTCTTCAGTTGCTCCATGTCCACTGGAGAGGACCGGACATCAGGGCCCATCCAGCTCACACACCGTGCTGGCCGAGGGCGGGCTTGGGGGTGGCAGGGTCAGGCTGATACTGGGTGGGGGCTGGGGGCTCTGGTGTGGGACTCCGAGTGGGCAGGCAGTCAGCTTGCTGACCTGTGGCTGTGCCCCTCAGCCTCGGGCCAGCACCATCAGTGGACCTGGCAGGGACCCGCCCACCCTCAAGGCCAAGGGCTGACATGGTTTGTCTGGTAGCAGGAGCAGCAGATCTTCCCCCGTGCCCTGGACGCATCTGGTGGGGCAGCCCCTTGCCCTCCAGGGACCTGGGGCAGCACCTTGCAGGGCCTGTCTCCTGCGGTGAGCCTGCCGAGCTTCTTCTTCCAGCTGCTCTTGCCGAGCCCGAAGCTGCACCACCAGCTGCTGGGCTTCAAAAAGGCTGCCCTCCAGGGCGTCCCTCTCTGCCCTGCGGGTGAGCATCAGACCAAGGTCACCCTCCCTGGGTGCCTGCCAGGAGCCGTGAGGGCACAGCCTGGCCCAGGTGAGTGATAGGGCCCTGCAGCGAGGCAGGTCGGCACATCAGGCCCTGCACGGGCAGCCGTCCCTCCCAGCAGCATGGCGGGGCAGGGGCCGCATCCCCGTGAGGACACGCACATCCCAGCATGGACCATGACCTGGTTCAGAAAGCAGGTCTTTCCTCGGTGGTTCCAAACCCAAAGCAAACTCTTTGCCATCAAGTCGATGCGACTCACAGTGAGCGCCCTGCAGGACGGGGTGGAACTGCCCCTGTGGGCTTCTGAGACGGTCACTCTTTACAGGAATAGGAAGCCCCTGTATTTTTCCCCAAGGAGCGGCTGGTGGGTTTGAACCACCAACCATGCAACCCAATGCCCAGCCCACAGCAGCACTAGAACGCTTCCTCTGCGTGGTGTCTTACAAAGGGCTAGGAGTCCTAGGGGACAAGCACTAATGCCCCGGCTACAGAAGCAGGCAGAACCAGGAAGAGCCTGGCCTGGCTAGCTCCCTAAACCGGGACTTAGCCTGCAGACTTGTCAGAAACGGTGGGGATCCTGGCCTCTGGGGTTACGTGTTGGGCTGCTGAGCGTAAAGTCAGCAGTTCTAAGCCACCAGCTGCTTCTTGGGAGAAAGATGAGGCTTTCTGCTCCCATCGAGATGGATAAGTTTGGAAACCTCTGCTCTATAGGGTCGCTAAGAGTCAGAAAGTCATGTTGGTGAGATGGAGTCTTTGTGGGACCAGACTGCTGCATGTTCCACACAAGGAGTGGCTGGTGGGTTTGAACCACTGACCTTGTTAGCAGCTCAGTGCCTAGACCATTGAACCACCTGGGGGTTCACACACACACACACACACACACACACACACACACACACACACACACGAGCAGTGCAAAACAGAAGGACCGTCAACGAGATGGACAGACACTGGCTGCAGCACTGGGCTCCTTAAGCACAGTGGCAACTGTGAGGCTGGGGCAGGACCAGGCAGTGCTTCATTCCTTCTGCTGTGCACGGGGTCGCAGCTGACTCAGCGGGACCCCACAACATCACACACCGTCTGTGGGTGTGCATCTCGCTAAGACCCAACACTTCCAGCGCACCTCTGCCAAGCATGGACAGGATGCCGGCGATCCTACAGAGAAATGGCCATGCTTACAAAGGACACCAAGTGACCAGCCGCGTCCCCAGCCTCTGCGGCTACTCACCTGGACCCAGCGGGATGGGGCCACCGACATGCAGGGATATTAGCCACGTGCCAGCCCAGCAAAAACTTAGCACATCCACAGAACCCGGCTGGCAAGGTGTGGCACCGCTTTCTCAGGGGGGAGCTCAAACCCCTAAACTTTAAGCGTGCAGGTGTTTCGCCCCGCAGTGGCAGTTTTGTAGGAAGCCACGTGCCCTGGCAATCTACACAGAAGAATGCCTTACAGTAAGGTGACCAGATTCTAACATTGGTAAAGTGGGATACCATTGATAAAACTCATATCCTGGCGAAATAGCCACATGGCAGCCAAAAACCGTATTCCCTAGATTGTCGTGCATTCTTTCCAAAAATCAGGACCTTCTTAAAATGCCGTGGGACGTGGAAAAAATTGTCCAAAGCGGGATGTCTGGTCACCTGACAGTTTACAGGCCCTCACTGGCTATCGTCCAGGGAGAGGGAGAATGTCGCCCAGATGACGGTCACTGGAGTCTGGCGCTCCAGGCCAGCGAGGACGCGGGAGCCAGCCATGCCATCCGGGGGACATGCCCAGGGCCCCACTGAACCTCATCTCTTCTCAGGGCTCCCAACCCAGGGCACAACCCCTCTCCATCCACACAGACCCACTCCCAGTCCGCGCCACAGCGAGGGGTCTGCCCTGCCAGGCTTCAGGCTCCCCGAGGACGTGCCCGGACCATGGACCCAGAGCTACCTGAGCTCAGAGGCCTCCTTGGCTGTGACTTGGCCGTGTCTCTCCAGGGCCTCCTGCTTGGCCAGCAGCTGCGCCTGCTCCTCGGACAAAGCCGCTTTCTCCTGCAGGGCTCGCTGCAGGGTGTCCATCTGGGCCTCCCGGTCCTGCAGGCTCTGAGCCAGCTGCTCCTCCAGGGCCTGCTTCTTGCATGTGACCTGGGGAGGGGAGGGCCCACAGAGGCAGCGGGAGTCGGTGGGAGTGTGAGAGGGGACGGTGGGGTCAGGGAAGGCTTCTGAGCCAGGCGGGAAGACTGGCGGGCACAAACATCACACGGACCCTCGGCAGGGCCCTCCTGTATTTTCCCAGGAAGGGGACGTCCAGGCCTGCATCCGTGATGGAGACGCGGCCAGACTGCCCTCCCCTCCGCAGTGGGCAGTGGACCGTTTGCATGGTGAGCTTTGCGGAGCCACACATGTGCGGGGGTTGGTGGCAGTGAGCATGACACAGAAGTCTGGAGAAGAAACGGAAAGCCAGATTGTTCCAGACCAAGAGCAGGAAAATCTGACGAGCAGCCGCACGAGGCCCCAGAGAGCTACAAAGGCAGCCAGGACCAGGGCGCTGGGTCCAGGGGGACGGAAGCCCAGAGGACGGCCCCGCCATTTGGTGTCCCTTCTGGTCTCAGAGTATTTGATCATTGAAAGAATGTTGGCGGAGACGCCCAGGAGCCAAGGAGAAGTGCTGGCCGCATTCCGGCCACACTGCAAACCTAAACGCGGTTGCTACCCAGTCACCCCATCTGTGTCTGAGCAGCGCTGGTCAGCCCCAGTGGGCTTCCACGGCTGATGTTTGGGAAGCTGGTCATCAGGATTTTCTCCCGAGGTGCCCGAGGGGGCTTGAGCCCCCTCCTCCCAACCTTTCAGTTAGCAGCCAAGCGTTTGACATTTCGTGCCTTCAAGAGACCCGGCCACTGTGCCTGTCAGCACACCAACACTGGAGTTCCAGGCTGCTGGAGGAGAGGGCACGGTAAGCACCCCCACCCCCACCCCACGTTTAGCTGGAGTCCCAGAGGGCTTCACCCTTGAGGTAATGGTGAGTCAGAAACAGAGTGACACTCAGGACACTGGGGCCTGGGCTCGAGTCAGGCCCAGCTCTGGCTGGGAGGCGATGACCATCCCGTCTTCCCCGTCTGCCAGATTCAGAAGTAAATCTTCCCTGGGGGAAGAGCGTCACGAGACCCCCAATTAAAAAACGATGCTGATTGGTGCGTCATCAACGTTAGCAGGCATGTCAGGAACATACTCCAAACACGTGTGGGAGGGCCCACGGGGGCAGTGGGAGGGAGACATAGATCTCCGGGGCACTCAGATATTAGCGGTATTGAACACGGGCTGTAAAAGGATCATAATCCTCTGTTCGAGAAGAGACACGCCGGTGTAGACCCTCACGATAGAATCCATGCAGACACGACCTCCTTAATAGCACAACAGCCACAGTCCACAACTTATAGCTCGGGGGTCAACAGCACATTAGACAGAAGGAGCAAGAGAGACCAGACCTAGAAGATAGATTTAAAACCTAATGTTCTCACACGGAATCCTGGAGAGGAAACTGGGTGGGGGGTACAGAACAAAATTGAAAGGGAGGACAGGTCAGAGGGCGTCCAAAGGGACAAGGAGAGGCTAGAGACTGCATTCAATGCCACTGGCCAAGAATTGTCCAAATCTAATAAAATGCACCAAGATTCAAACCCCAAACCAAACTCACTGCTGTGGAGTCAATTCCAACCCACAGCGACCCTGTTAGGGCTTCTGAGACTGTCAGTCTTTGCGGGAGCACACACACACACACACACACACACACACACACACACACACACGGCCTCGTCTTTCTCCCACGGAGGAGCTGGTACGCCTGAACCACCAACATTGCAGTTAGCAGTCCAGCGCCTAGCCTGCAGCACCACCAGGGCTCCCTCAGCAAACTGCAGCGTAGCGCAGACATATTCTCAAGAGAATAATACAGTGAACATTCCCTCCAGGGGAGGGAGCACTAAAATGGATTGTGATCACATGAATCATCTTCAAGACGATTTGACCATGGGGAAGGGGGGTGCTCTAAAATGGATGTGGGGGTGAGTGTACAATTCTCCGTGAGAGGACTGAGTGATTGAACGCTTGAGTTACATGGTATGCAAATTACTTGTGAATAAAACTGGGAAAGAAAGAAAGAAAGACAATTCCATGCAGGTACAATTTAGTAAAATCTCTAGGCTAAAGATAAAGGGGGAGGGGATCTCAAAACGTCAAAGGGAAGCAAGACACCGTATCTTGATGTTAGCAACAGCGCCACCAACAGCTGCCTCCCAAACGGCGGCGACGAGTCAGCAGACGATGGAACCACCGCTCCAAATGACTGCAGGGGGCGGCTGCTCGTGTCTCACGCCAGCGAACAAGTTCTTGGAAAATGAAGATCTGAGTTCTCTGCCTCTGGTGAGGGGGTTGGGACCAACTCTGCTCCCGCCCCAAGGCTTCCCCCACCGCCCCCACCCCAGAGAAACCAGAAACGCCTGTTAGAAGGCCTTAGCGAGATTTTGAGCGTGGCTGGGACCATGGGATCTGAAGGCCACCAAGGGCCGAGGCACATCAGGGGCTCAGTGGGCGAGACTGAGGTGGGGTCGGAAGAAACAAACCGCCCTGGCGGGGCTAGACCCAAGGAGTCAAGTCTGCTCCTGGAAAGGCTCCCATCAGCACACACAGGGCTTGGAGCAGACGCGGGATGCGGCTGGAGGTGGGTGGGGAGGGAAAGGGGCAGGCAGTGCAGGCTGTGGTGGACACCGATTCCAGGCCAGCAGTGTCCTGGCTGGACAGATCTCTGGCGCTGGCGACTGGGGACCTGATGGAACAGACCTCCCTGCACACCCCACCTCACTCTCATCACCCCGATTCTGAGACAGGTGGAGTGTTGCCACGGCGACCGGACGACATGGGACCAGGACGAGGGGTGCTGGGATGTCTCCCAGGCTGAGTGTGTGCACTCCCACGCGGCGGGCCTGTGGACCCTCACCTGGTCCACCTGCTCCTGCAGCAGGGCCCTCTCATGCCGGAGCTGGGCTGCCTGCCCCTCTAGCTGCTCCTGCTTCTCCTCCAGGTGCCCACGGGCCTGCTGCAGGCCCCTGCGCTCAGCCCGCTCCCGCTCCAGCTGCTGCTCAGCCTGGGCCAGCTGCTCCCGGGCCTGGGCCTGCTCCCGCTCCAGTGCCCGCTGCCGCTCCTGCAGGCGGTCGCGCTCCTGCTCCAGCTGCAGAGGGGCCACAGGGAAGAGGGGTGGGGCAGCCATCGTCCTGTACCCAGTTCACCCTCAGCCTGGCCAGGGCTGGCCCCTCATCCCTCGGGCAGGGTGACCTCAGTCCAGCTATGGAAAACACCATCATAAGGGGCTCAGGGATGAGAGGAAGGGCCAGCAGTCTCCCAGCTATGTCGGGGGGAAACGGAGGCTCGGGGTCAGTCTCACCACAGCCCATGGAAGCCTGGCACTCACCTGGAGGGTCAGGTGGCTCAAGGTGCCCTTGTCCTGAGCCAGTCCCTCCATCAGGGCGGCCACCTTGGCCAGGGAGTCCCGTTGCTCCACTCCCTCTGCCTTGAGCCGGGCCACCTGCAGTTCCAGGTCGGCATTGCTGGACTTGGCCTGGGGTGGAGGGGCAGAGGTCACCAAAGAGGAGTGAGCCCCTGCCAAGGGGCACAGTGGGAGGACTCCAGTGAAGGGGACGGCCAACTGGGCATGTGGCCTCCAGCCAGGAGAGGACAGGGCAGCCGTGGAGGGTGGCAGGCAAGAGCAGTGGGGGCCCTGGGCGAGGTGGGTGTCCCAGCTGGGGATAGGAGGGCCCTTCGGGACGCTGGTGGCCGGGGTGCAGGTGGAGAGGAGGGGTAGCGGGGCCTGGCATTGTGGGGGCCGGGCGCACCTGGGCCAGGGCATCACGCAGGCCCTCGCTCTCCCCCATCAGCAGGTCTTGCTGCAGCCGCGCACTGCTCATCGCCTCCCCCGCGGACACCAGCTCCGTCCTGAGCGCGGACACCTGCCCCTCCAGCTGCTCCAGGCGCCAGTGGCTGAGAACACAGGGGGGAGGGTGTAAGTGACATGGGTGAGGGCAGGGGGACCTCCAGAACCTTGATCCTCTCCCAGCACCCCCCCGGGGCTCCCTGGAGGGCCGGAGATGGTGAGTGGGAGGAGCCCCTGCTTCTGGGTGTGGGGGGGTTACCAGCCACAAGCTTCCTGCTGGGTGAGATGTGGATTTTCTAGTCCACACCCGGAGGGTGAGTGTGCTAGTGTTTGAATATATGAGTGTGAAAGTGGGTACAAACGTGTCCATTACACATGTGCGTGAGTATGTCAATGCGCATTTGTGTGGGTGTGCAAGTGTACACATGCACAACTATGTGTGTGACTGAGCAAGTATGGGTGGACATCTGTGTAATTACCTGATTATGCAAATGTGTATAATTAGGTGTGTGTGCAAGTACAATGATCTGAGTATGCAAATGTGTGAGTGTGCATAATTAGGTGTGTAAATATTAGTATGTGTTTACCCGCATATAAAAATGTGTGTGAGTGCACGCACACAGTATGTGCATGGGTGGAGGTGAGGCACCTGTAAGTGTGTGCATGTGTGCTGGGGTGGGCAGTGCCTGGTCTGCCCTGAGCTGACCCCCACGGCAGGGGTGGTGGGGGTGGAGAAAGGCCAGATGCTGGGGTCTCGACTGCGCTGCCTTGGGGTCCCCAGGGCTGCTGCAGTGGGGAGGATGCGGGGGTCAGGAGGGAACAGCTTCGGCCCCCACCGTCTGCACGTGGACCCAACCACCTGGTGTCCAGCTCCCGCTGGCTGCGCCGCTCCTGCTGCACCAGCTCTTCGGCCTGCTGGGTGCACAGTTGCAGGCTTTTCTGCAGCTCCGAGTTCACTGCCTGCAGCCTGCGCCTCTCCCCGGCTGAGACGTCCACCTGCCCTTGCAGCTCCTCCACCTCAGCTTCCAGGGCCGCCTTCTCCCTGGGGCAGGGCGGCCGCATTCGGGGAGCATGAGGCCCTGTCCCACACAGAGCCCAGCCCTGGTGGGCTCCAGGTACTCCAAGGGGGCACTGCTCAGCCCCGAGGGTCTCTGGCTGAACACCCCCTGCCTTGGCAACCCTGCTGGAGGCCCGAGGGCCCAGGAGGGGCTCAGTGGGGAGCCAAAGGCCCAGCGAGTGGGGATGAGTCACCAAGGTGGACCAGGTGAGGGAAGGAGGTGGCCCCGCCCGGTCCTGTCACCTTCCCAGGTGCTGGGCTTCCCTGCTATGGGTCTCCAGCTCGCTCAGCAGGTCCTCGTGGGTCCGCGCCTGCTCCCGGGCCTGTTCCTGCAGGAGGTCCCTTGAGGCCCGGAGTTGCCGGCGGCACTCTGATAGCTGCTCCCGGAGCCCGGCCGCCACCGCCTGGGAGCCCTCCAGCTGCAGGCAGAGCTCCTGCAGGGGCAGTGTGAGGCTAGCCAGGGCTCCCCAACTCCCGTCCAAGAAAGATGCCCTTAGCCTGCAGCCCCTCCTGGGATGGGGCCTCTCTGGGGCAGCCCCTCCCTGTGCTGTGGGTGTGGGTGTGGGCCATGGCTAGGCTGGGGACCCACGGGTTGGGTGCCCACCTGCTCCCGCTGCTGTTGCCTCTCTATGGCTGCTTGCACCGCACGCAGGATGGGGTTGGGGGTATCTGGGGCCCGGGCCTGGGGTGGGGACAGCCCAGCGGGCCGGGGGGATGATGTGTGCAGGGGGCTCCAGGGTCGGCCTTCTGGGCTGCTGCTCCGCACCAGCTCCGGATACCCCAGGTCTGCCTGGACCACCTTCAGGGTGAGAGGAGCGGGGCCGTGATTCAGTGAGACCTTCCATCTGAGCCACAGACCTCGGAGGCAGGCAGGCAGCAGGGGTCACGGGTGCCGGCTCATGGTCAGCAACCTCCCCCGCAGCCCGGCCCACTTGTGTCCCCCTTCCGGACCCCGACTCTGAAGGGCTGGGCACAGGGCACCTGGGCAGAACTGTTCAACATCTGCTGCAGGCGGTCCCCTCGGTCCCCCAGGCCGTCCACCACTGGTCGGCCCCGCCTCGCCGCAATTCCTGCTGCTGGAGATTGCTCAGCGGGCCAGGTGAGGGACACCCCTCTGTGGGCTCCTCTGGCCCCACATACCAGCCTCTGCACCTCTTCCTCCAGGGCACAGACTGCCGCCTCCCTCTGGGTGGTCTGCTCTCTCAGCTGCTCCACCATCAGGGTCTGCTCTGAGAATCTGCAGAGAGGGACCGGGCGGGGCAGTCAGGGCAGAGCACAGGCTCCAGGCCCCCTGGACACGGGCCTGCAGGCACTGGTGTCACTGCCCTGCCTGAGTGGGCCAAGTCCACCAGACGCCCCTCACCTGCTGTCCGGCATCAACGACTGACTGCCGCTGTCTCTGGAACATAGGCTGACTGACGTTTCCCCCAAGGCCCTGACTCAGCACTCCAGCCAGGCCAGTTGTTTCCCAAGACCCAGGTCCTGTCCTCCCAGCATGGTGGACACATGCTCACCCCAGCCCAGGGGTCCCTCTGCCTGATAGACTCAGCCCACTTCCCGGGACCTCCTTCCCTGGACCCCTGGCTCCTCCGGGATCCCTCCCCCCAGGAGCTCCACAGGCAGGGCCTTGTGCTGGGTCAGCTAGGGCGTGGGATGTCGTGCCTGAGCACGCACTGGGCCCCCCACCCTCTGACAGACCAGGAAGCCCCAGAGGCTAGCTGGCTGCGGTGCCCACTGGGCTGACTCCTGCTCTCAGGTGTCATGAGACAGGCCACCTGCTCCTTCCTAAGCTCTGGACAGACACCCAGCTCTCACCCAGACCCACTGCTGCCCCCAAGCCAGTGCCCAGGCACAGCAGCCCTGCAGCCCAGGGGCACTGCCCAGAGGTGTGGGCAGTGAGGACGGGGAAGAGGACGCATGCGAGCAGAGTGGAGATGAATCCCCGGTACATCCTCCTGAGTAAACGTAATGCCCCCACAGGGTCTCCCCATAATAATGCCATTCAAAGATGTCCCTTATAAACCCCTGGGCACTCTCTGGCACCCAGAGGCTGTCGTGAAGAGCGATCAGATGCTACCACCCATCCCATGCTCAGTGCGGCCCACTCTCTTCTGTACTGGTCACAGATTGGTCCCCTAGGTCAAGCCAGCTCAGGGTCAACCAAGGTTAAGCCGCCATCTTAACTCTAGAACCTGCCCACCTTGTTACACAGGGTACCCCTGTCACGTGGATGTCCCTAGCGCCTCCCCTTCCTATGATGTGCGTGCCTCTAGCACATGCCTCCCTGCTGCCCGTGTGTGTGGCGTGGCTTGCGTGCCTGATGATGACACGTCTGGTAGGGAAGACATTCGCTCTCACTCTGGTTCCTGACTCCGTGGAAGAGGAGAGCCCTTGCATGTCTTGTCTGTTGTCTCTAATTGTCCCTTTCAATTACACAACCAGTCCTTAGGCTGGTCCCCCCCACAGAGGGTCTCCCAGGTTCCTACCGAGGAGAGGTTGGTGGGTTCGAACTGCTGACCTTTAGGTAAGGCCCCAGTGCTTCACCCATGGTACCACCAGGGCTCCTCAGAGAGACACAGGGGCGTCCTCGCACCTCAGGGACACCGGGGGTGGGGAGATGGGGGACGGGGAAGGTCTGGCCCATCTGCACTGAGGACTGATGTCACTGTGTCATCTGCACTGAGGACTGATGTCACTGTGTTGGACCTTGGGGACAGCAGGCAGGGTGGGGGCACAGGGACATGCGGGGCCCCTCCCAGCCACTCCGGGGCCCACCTGGCCTGCAGCTCTGCTTTCTCAGCATCCCAGGCACCCTGCATAGCCAGCAGCCCCTGCACCTTGTCCCTCAGCCGTTGCTCCAGCGTGCTGGCTGTGCCTCGGGCTGACAGCCGCAAGTTGGAGTCCAGGTTCAGGCAGGCCGTGTGCAGGTGCCGCGCTGTCCTGGCCATATCAGCCCGCGTGTCAGCAAGACCCCTGGGGAGGCAGGGGGTCCCATCCACTGCTGAGGCCCTGAGGTCGACAGCCCGGTCCCCTCCCTGCAGCAGGGGGCTCTACCTTCAGAGACCCCTTCATGTGGCCCCGTGGGGCCCCTGGCCCATCCCTCCTCTCTCCACCACACCCACTGGGACAGGCCCCGCCCCTAGGCAGGTGACTGGCACTCACCTCTCAGTGGAGGCTCGGAGCTCGGCGAGGTGTACCTGGAGCGAGGTGGCCTGCCTCCACAGGAGCAGGAGGCCCTGGGCCTCCCCAGGGTGAGCCTGCCAGGCCTGGACAGCAAGAGACATCTATCCACTTCAGGTTCGAGACCCCAATGTGGCAGGGAAGAGGGGCCCTGTGGCATCACGCACCCTTACTCTCTTCTGGCATCCCTGGAACATCCATCTGTCCCTTTCCCACCCCACCTCACTTGCTTCCCTGTCAGGCAGTGCACAGGGGTCTGGGCTCCCTGGCCCCCACCCTCTGCGGTGCTGTGGCCTCAGAAGAGCACCTAGCCTGGCTGGTGGCTGGTCTGGCTCTCAGATGGGTGCCTGCTTGGGGGGTGGGGGCCCAGAAAGGGCGGTGCTGACTCAGCAGTTAAGGTGCTCCAGAACCAGGACTATCCCGCTGGTCTCTCCACTGGGACAGGCAACCCTCTGGGGGCCTAGGCTGCTGCCTCGAAAGCTGAGGAACAGGAGGTGGGGGGGCTGCTCTCTCCCCAGCAGCCGTGGGTCTTGGAGGAGCTTGGGAGATAGGCGAGTTGGGGTTTCCAACACTCAGAGCCCCCCCACCCCCCCGCCGTGGAGGAGGCAGAGTGTATGGGAAGTGGCGGGGTTCAGAGACCCTGCAGGATGGTGATCGTGGGGGGCGGGGCAGGACCTGGCTCCCACTATGGGTGTGTGTTCCCACAGGCTCACCTCCAGGACGCAGGGACACCACACAGCCCCAGCGCCCTTCCACATCCATCCTGGCTGCCCCTTCCTGCCACAGCCCTGCCCTCCCTGCAAGCCCTTCCCTGGTGCTCTGCAAGGGCCCTCCAGCCACACACCATCCCGTTCTGCCTGTTCGTCAGCACCTCGCAAACCACCTCTTTCTCTTGGTCATGAAGCTTCCTGACCCTCGTCCTGCAGCTGAGGTCACCCCACCTTCACAGGGGGCACTTCCCGGCACCAAGCCTCTGCGCACTTGCTTCCCTCCCCCTGACGGTGCCACCAGGATGGAGAGCAGCATGCAGGGCCAATGCCTGTACCGATCTGCCCAGGAAGGACAGGGAGCGCCATCAGACCCGCTCTCCACACTTGACTGCTTTGTGAGCTCAGGTGAGTGGACCAAACAGCCCGGTGGGCACTCAGACCAGGGACCAGGGAGGTCAGGCGCCCAAGAGGAACGCGGGCAACTTCTCACCACGCTGGGCAATTTGAACATCAGCTGCCTTGTCATAAGGGGCTCAGGGGACAGAGAGAAAATCCAGGGCCCCAAAGTGGGGCCCAATAGGAGAACTGCTCACACCTAAAGGTGCTACACAAAACCTGCACTCTGGGTGCATGGGTGAACTAGAACCCTTCCCCTAAACACGCACGGGCATGCGGACAAGCACACGGCCTTCTAGGACATTGGTACTGAGCAGATCTAGAACATCGATATTGAGCGGAAAGAAGGAAAGAAAAAATCCCCTGGGATTTGGAACCACAAGTCAGTTAACCTTTGTGTAGCTTATGACCCGATTTCCCTCAGTCTGAGTGGTCTGGAGAAACTAAAGCCGGGGCTTTACTTCAGAAGCAAACGTCAATCCTTTCTGGAAGAAGACAGCACATCAATTGCAGGTTTCAGAGACGTTGCACACAGTCCCACGGAAAACCCACAGCTCTGAGTTTCACAATCGCCAGGAACCCCGTGGTCAGGAGCCAGCAGAAACCACAGAATCAGACCCCGAGAACCTTCGGCTATTAGAACTTGGACAAAGAAACACCACGACTGCTTGTTTTTAAAATACGCTTACACAAATAAACGAGAGGCCTGAAAATAGGAGCAGAGAGTGAGATATTTGGAAAACAATCCGACAGAACTCTGATGAAGAGAGCCACGTCTGGGATCTAAACCCAGTCCGCAGGCTTCACGGAGTTAGAAACCAGAAGGGAAATTGATGGACAGAGATGCAGATTTGAAAGGAGAATTCTCTCGACTGCAGTGCAGGGTCTCAAAAAGAAATTAAAACATGAGAGATGAAGAGCAGTATCAAGTGGGCCAACACACACAACACATGTACAACATGAGCACAACACACGTACAACACACATGCACACAGCACACATATAACACATGTATAACATGCATACAACACATATGCGTACAACACGTGTATAATATGAGTACAACACACAATACAGCATAACACACATGTAGTACATGTAGAACATGCAAAACACACACAGCAAACACACATAATTGGAGTTCACAGGAGGGGCGGGCAGTAACACACACTGCCGTCGTGTGATTCTGACTCACGGCCACTCCATCGGACAGAACACATCTGCCCCTGTGGGTTCTGAGACCGTGAACGCTCACGAGAACAGAAGGCTGCATCTCTCTCCCCTGGAGGGACTGGTGGGTTCACACTGCCGACCTTGCAGTTCGCAGCCCAACACGTACCCACCATGCCGCCAAGGCTGTGATAATATCTGTAGAGAGAAGGGTTCCTTTCCGGAAACGGCGAGGGCACGAGAAGCCCAGTGAGTCCTACGCTGGCTGGTCATGGGAAGACTGCAGAACACCCACCCCCGCACAGATGCTAGGAGCAGCCGAGGGAAGACGAGTTACCTTCACGGGAGTCAGTCAGAGTCAAAGGAGGCTGGAGAGGAGAGCGACTTTTCAACCTCGGCCACGGAAGCCAGAGACAGAGAAAGGGCATCTTTAAGGGGCGGAGAGCACATAGTGGTTGTCCCGGGAGGACAGGGTTCAAAGGCAGGTGCAAAATAAAGACCCAGGTTAACCCCATACTGAGCTGGGGGCTTCTCTTCCTAGGGCTCTTGTCTGCAGGTGTTGAGTTGTCAGATGTGCCAGATGTGCGCCAGGCCGCCAGCTCAGCAGGTGTGATTTGTCTTATGATCTCCCCCTCACCACCCGAGGGTTTGTTAGGAGCCATTACCCTTTGAGGACAAACGCAGTTGTCCTCCCTCCCCTCCCCTTGTGGGGGCTGAGTTGGGATGGTGGCCATAGGATGGTCCACAGCAGCAGCAGAGGGCCCCTCTCATGTGACAGACAACCTGAGGGCCTATGGTAGCCGGTCCAGGCAGGCAGCGGTCCTTACTGCTCACCCTGTGGCTTGTCTGAGGGGTCCTTTGGAGGGGTGTCAGTAGGGAGCTTGAGTGCGGGCACTGGGCGGCTGCCTCAGATGTCTGCTCCTCCCCGAAGGAGCTCCCTTTCCAAGCAGCTCTGGGCAGACCCCAAGTTGTGCTGTCCAAACTCCCTTTCCTGAAGGGCGCTGCCCTCGCACTCAGGAGGGTGCTGGGGGCACTCTCAGTTCCCGAGAGGCCTGTTCCCCAACCCTGGCACCCTGCCAGGGGGACCCACATCCCATGACGTTGATTGACCCAGGACCTTGGTATCCCAGACACTGACCCCTGGTGCACACTGGGCCTTGAGGAACAGGTGGGCTGTCGAGGCCCTGTGTAGGCTGGCCAGGGGTGGTGAGTGATCATGCAGCTCCAGGCCCCTTGGGAGTCCCCACCCCACCTGACCAGGAGACGGCGTGACACTGACTGCCACCATGGGCTCAAATGTGGGGCCGGTGATGGCGATGGAGCGGGGCCGGGTAATGTTTTGTTCTGTTGTGCCACAGGTCGCTGGGGGCCGGAACCAGCTTCATGGGCCCCAACAACCCCACCCGAAGCAATTTGACAAGCCCATGGGGCCTCCCTCCCTGACCAGGGTGGCCCAGCAGAGCCAGGACTCGGCCCTCCCAGGTCCAGCCCCCTGGAGGGGCCCGCTGCTGAGACTCACCCACCCTTTCCAGCTTCCTGCTGCCCTCCCCCTACCCCCACCCCCAGCAGGTGGAGGCGGGGCAGGCACCTCTCTCCTGAGCTGCCGCTGAGCTTCCCGGAGCCCCAGCTGGTCCCTCAGGCGAAGCACGCTGCCCGCTGTCCGGGCCAGTTCCCCCGACAGCGTGTCGTTGGCCTTCTTCATGTGCGCCAGCTGCTCCCGCAGCAGCGAGTTCACCTGGGCGAGGCCGGCGCTCCTGCCGGGCCAGACAGACAGCAGGGGGATGGCGTGCTACTACTGGGGCTGGTGGGGTACCGTGGGGTTATGAGGCCATACCACTGAAGGCCCCAAGGCAGCGGGCCCACAGCCCCAAGGTGCAGTATCCAGGGCCTGGCCTCACCTCTGCTCCGAGGCCTCCAGGCGGCCCAGGGCCTCTTCGAGGTCCATGCTGTGCTCCAGCTCTGACCTGCGCAGCCGGGCCTCGCTGGTCTGCATCTGGGCCTGCAGCTAGAGAGGCCGAACCAGCAGCTTTGGCGTGAGTAGGGCTGAGAGGGCTCGGGCCCTCCAGATGCCCATGGAGGAGGGGCGCTACCACCTGGGTCCCTGATTGGGCAGCGCAGGATGGGGTGTTGGAGTGGTGGGTGCACATTTGGGTCACAGGTGGCCACCGGAGGCAGAGGACAGGCCACGGTGGTGGTGGGATGGACGTGGGGCTCAGACAGCAGGGCTCTGGGGAGCTTCCTGCCCAGGGGGCTTAGAGAGCAACCAGGGGATGCTTGGTGCTGGAGAGCAGGCTGCCCTTGTGGCCACAGGGCAGGGCCGGCCCCTCTGGCCTCAGTTTCCTTCAGGCTGCTCCTGCAGGGCAGGCAGGCAGGGTGGGGGCAGGGCTGAGAGGGGAGGGTGGTGCAGGGTGGGGTGGGATGGGGGAGCCCTGAACTCAGACCCCATGGCAGCCAGCAGGAGGAGGGCTGAGAGCTGAGACAGGCTGGCTGTGGGTGGGAACGGCCACCAAGAGGCTGGCTCCATAGCCACCCTGACCCCACTGGGCCCTGCCCCCTTGGCTTGGAGGCGCCTGGTGATGTGATGGGATGGGATGTCCAGTGAGGGGAGGGCGGGGCTCTGACTCAGAGTTTACTGGTCTGCCTGCAGCGGCTCCCCCCACCCCCACCCCGTTCCCAGCATGTCCCCACCCAGTGCCAGGAAGAACCCCCCTCCCACACACCCAACCAAGCCCCATGAGGCCTGAAGGTGGGTTTTGGGAAGGCGCCCCAAATTCGAGAAGAGGGAGTGGCCTCCCCTTGGTCCTGGCCCAGGCTCTGGGGGCAGGCTCAGGCAGGAGGGGTGTCCCGGGGGGAGGAGGAGGGAGCTGGGGCCTCAGAGGGCGTGCTCACTGGTCAGGGCCACTAGCTTTGCTCAAGGATGGCCCCCAGCCCTGCAAGCACCTCCGCTCTCTGAGTGTCCACTCTCCCAAATGGAAAGGGGGTGATGGAAAGGGGGTGCCTAGTCCTGCCTTTCAGATGGTGGAGCACTGAAGGAGCTATGGAGGGGCTGAGCCAGCCCCTCCTCCGTGCCCGATCCTGGCCTTTGCATTGGCCAGTCCAGGAAGGGGCCCAGCATGGTGTCTTCATACCCTTGCCCTTTTCCCTGACCACCCTTGTGGTCAAATAGGCTCCCGGGTGGGGGGCCCTCTCGTTGTTCCCTTCCCACCTCGGGCTCGGTGTCCCAGCGGAGCCCTGGTGGCCTGTGGGTGATGCTGGGCTGCCCATCACAGAGTCAGCAGTCGGAAACCACCAGTCGCTCCCTGGAGGAAGATGAGGAGGGCCTGCCTCTTTAAGGAGCTACGGCCTTGGAAACTCCAGGGGCAGTTCCGCTCTGTCCCAAGCGGGAATGGACCCCAGGGCTCGGCCGTATGGGGGCAAGTTCTACAGATACCTGGCTGGGCAACTCCCTCCCCCCTCCCCCCGTGGGCAGTGCCAGCCCCTCACACTCACCCGCTCACTGGCAGCGTGGTACCTGGTGGCCAGCTCATCCCGCTCGGCACCGGCCTGGGCCAGCAGGTCCTCCAGCCGCACCAGCTCCTCCTGCAAGAGCTCGTAGTCCTCCTGCGCCCCAGCAGGGGAGGCGGGGGGCTCAGGCAGCCCTGCAGGCAGGGGGCTCCCGTCAGTAGTGTTGTCCCCACCTGGAGGAAGCCTCAGTTTCTGGGGTGAGGTCACAGCTCAGATCCCTGAGACTCAGAGCCATGGTGGGGCGCCTTGCCACCCTGATCCTGGTCTCTCCTCCATGACCAGACCCGAGCCTGCCCAGGCCAGCCACAGCAGAGTAAGGGGCAGGCCTGGGCATGGAGTCCCTCCCGAGGTGGTGAGGCCAGACCCCGCCCAGGCCAGTTGTTTCCTATGTGAGGGCTTGCTTCTCCTTCCAGCCTGGCTTCAGGAGCCAGCAGGCTCTCCCTGCAGCGGGAGGGTCTGGGACCCCCATGCAGGCAGAGAGCTGGCACAGGCTCCCGACATGACTGGCCGGTGCCTTGAGGCAGGAGCAGATGCCCAAGGGTCCAGGTGTGGTGGGTAAGGGTTAGCATGGCCCTTCTCGGGTGGGAGCCTGCGGGACCCGGAGAGGTGGTGAGTGGGGGCAGCCCCACCAGTGACTGTGTCCCCCTGTACCCTCAAGGGCCAGCCTGGGAAATTCTCACTTGGCTCATGAGAAATCAAGGAGGGAGTAAACTCAGCCCATTGGCCACCTGAAGCAGGCACAAGTGGCCTGGGGACAGTCCCCCCATGGACCATGGGTGGGCATGGCCAACCCCAATCACAGGCCACAGACCGGTCCTGCGTGGGGGCTTTGAATAGCTGCCCGGGCCTCCCTGTGCCCAAGCCTGATCACCTCTAGACGGCTCCTCGCCCAGGCTGCTGGTCACGATCTCCCGGATGCGGGCAGGGACGGGGGTTGGCGACCCCCGCTTGCCTTCCCCAGACATGGTCAGCACCCGGTCCTCTCTGCTGGCCATGGGGCCCAGGACACTGTCCTCCAATCTCTGAAAAACAACCCGGAGACCCTGAGCTGGTGGCCCTGGATGGTGGCCCAGTACCTCCCTAGCAGGAGGCAAGGCTTCCTGGTGCTCCTTGCAGGAGCCAAAGGCTGGCCAGGGCACACACCTCTGCCCCCCACCTGTCAAACAGCATGACAACTAGATCTTCAGAGCTGCCCAGGTGGCCACTCCCCTGCTCTGCCCATCCCCTGCCCATAGCCTTGCTGACCCTGCAGTGGCCCCACCCCTGCCCCACCCATCCCCTGCCTGTGGCCTCGCCCACCCTGCCCGTAGCCGCTGGCACAGAGGTACAGGTTGGAGATGTATAGCCGCCAGGTAGTCGCAGGCAGGGCTCACAGCTTGTAGGGGGAGGTGGAGGGGGCGTGTCAGGGGCCGGCAGGACAGTGGGGGATCCTTCCTCCTTAAGGAACAGGGCCATTGGGTGGAGGGACTGCCCACCTATAGGAGGGGCATGTGGGCTCTGGGGGAGGGGCAGGATGAGAAGTGTGGGCCTGTGGGTGTTCCCTCACCCACCCCTCTCCGGAGGACTGTGGGGTGCCTTCTCTCAGCTCCCTGAGACAGATGCCTTGAGGAGGGATAAGGGGGAACAGCAGGGCACCCACCTTCCTGAGCCTGCTTCGGCTGTGCCTAGAAGTGGGCAGGAGGTCGGGGTTCTGGGCACCTGAAACCCAGGCAGAAGGGGAGTCCTGGGTGCTGAGTGGGCACATCCCCCTGACCTGGGGCTTCTCTGTTCTTGGGGAGGGCTTCAGCTGCAAGGGCCAAAGTGGGCCCCGACCTCCAAAGCCAGGGGGAACTCCTGTTGGGTTTTATTGGGGTACTGGTTGAGGGAACCCATCAGGGCCCAGCAAAGCCAGAGGACCCAGGAGGGTCCATTTCAAAGCAACACAAAACCTTGAGAACCAGGGTCTAGCAAGTTCTCCCAGGCCTGGGGACAGCCCAGCCGCCCACTCTGCCTCTCTTAAAAGCAAGCCCAGCTTACTGGCATGGAGTTGACCTGAGCCCCGAGGACCCTCTGGCACAGGCGAGAACTGGCCCTGGGTCTCCAAGGCCATTGGTCTCTATGGGAGCACACGGCCTCACTGTCCACTCCTCCTTCACTGGGGTCTGGGTCTAAGGCACAGGTTTGGATATTAAGGGGTCCTGGGAGAGGAGTTTCCGGGCTGCATACCTGGGGTTTCCTGCTGCTCTTCCCCCAGCCCCACAAGTTTCTCATCCTTGTCACCTGGGAACCTTGTCCCCATGGCCTGCTCCCTGTACCCATGACCGCCCAAATCTTCCAGACCAGGGTCCTGGCGAGGGACCCTTTCCCTCTTGCCCTGCCCTGAAAACCTCCTCTGGCCCTGCTGCCTCCTGGCTCTGGCCCCAGACCCCCAGTGGGTGGTCAGAACAGGAGTGGGTCTGGCCCTGCCCTGCTGGCTCAGCCCTTCCTCTGCTGGCCCTTCCAGCACCTTCCCGGGTCACAGCCCATCCAACCCCCATCCCATGCTGGCAGAGGCTTCTCAGGGTGGTTCTCTGGCTCAGACATGGGTGGGGGCACCTCCCCATAGCCCCCCAGGTCTTAGCCCAAGGCCTGGCCTGTGTGCCTTCATTTGGGTCTAGTGAGAAGACAGGCAACAGGGTCCTGGGCCCACCTTATAGTCTGACTTGCAGGAGGACTTGCCTTGGGGAGGGGGCGGCGCAGGGGACAAGGCAAGCCTGGAACCGGCTAACCCCCAGGGCCTCCCAGAAGCAAAGGGCTGGAGGTGTACAGCTAGCCTGTGCCGGCCCCTCATTTCACATGCAGGGAAACTGAGGCTGGGGGTGCCCAGAGCCCACCCCTCCCTGCCCTGGGGTGCCGGCGGTGCCACCCGCTCCTGAGAATAGCCACGTGAGCTTGATGCTGGGGAGCATGCACAGAGGGTCACTATCAGCCTGGAGGCCGAGAGGCAGGCGCTGCTGTAATGGGCTCCAGCTGTGGTCCCGGGCCTGCGAAAGGACCTCAGCCACCCAGCGCGGCGGGGGCCTGGTGGGGGGCCGAGTGGAGGGGGCGGTCCCCTCCTCCTCATCCGGCTGCCGAGGGGGGGCAAGAGGGAGGGCTGACCCCACGGAGACAACTGGGAGGAGGAGGGGAGCAGGGAGGTGGGGCCGCCATGCTGTAAGTTTCAGCTTGCCTGACCACAAAGGGTTAGGTTCTGCAGAGCCCTGTCCTCCCCTGCCCCACCCAGGCCACTCAGTCATGACCTTCCTGCCCCATGTGGAGTCAATGCCCTTTGTCCCCACATCTTGGAGCCCCCGTTGCACCGAGGTGCTGCCTGCTGTGGCCCTGCAGGTCCTGTGCAGGACGGCTCCTCTGTGGTCAAGGGTCATGCAGCACTCAGACTCAGGGCTGGGGGTGCAGGGAGAGGGGAGACAGGTGCCCATCTCTGACCGGACTGTGCTGGAAGAAACTTCTAGAAGGCCCGTAGGGAACCTTAGCGAACCCCAGGGATGGATGTCTCTCTCCCCAAAGGTTCAGCCTCACAAGCGCCCCTTCTGCCCTTCCCCACCAGCTAGCCACCTCCTCACCCCTCTGTGGCCATCCTGTCCCCTCCCCTGGCTGCAGGTCTGGCCTCTCCGACCCCAGCCAGAGGGGCACTCCAGTGGGGACAGCCACCCCCCTCATGCCACCATCCAGGGGCTCTCTAGGTTAAGGACAGGACAGCCCCTTCCCCCAGGACTACAGGCCCCCTTCTAGCTAGGAAAAGACCAGTTCCAGCCCCGCTGCCAGTGTGAGCCTGAGCGAGTCACCTGCCTCTGGCCCTGAGCGGTGTCCCCCCATGCCTGGGGTCTCACTGCCATGGATGGAGCCTGGGAGTTGAGGATGGGGCGGGGCAGGCTGAACTGCGGGTGCTGAGGCCTGGTGGGGAGACCTAGAACCCAGACCCTCAGCTGTACTCTCTGCAGGGAGACCTAGCACCATGACCCCTCCCCAGCACCCCCTTTAGGGAAACTTAGTGCCCCAGCCCCTCCCTGTTGCCCCCTGCTGGGAAGGGCACCCTGATGGGATGTGTTAGCATCACTTGGAGGCAAATGGGGCAGCTCCCCACCCCTGTGCGTGGGACCCTGCCTCTCGGGGTGGCTTCTGGCCCTTCCCCTTCCCCGACCTGGGCCCAAAGACCCCAGAGCATAGGAAGGTGTGTGGGAGTCACTCTGTCCTCCTCGGCACTGCAGGTGGGGAAACTGAGACCCAGGGTCAAGCCCCCTTACTCAGGGTGGGGGGATGTCGCTGGTGACCACCTCGGTCAGCCCTCCAGTCTGTCACAGGGCCAGGCATTGGTTGGTGGATCCCCTTCCACTCCTGCCCCCACCCTGGGGTGACCTTGGGGCTCCTGCTAGGCCTTTTGGGAGGAGGCTGGAGTGCCTGTGTGTATGAGTCCCCTGTCCTCTGCACCCCACAATGTGCAGGGCACTGTGGCTCTCCACTTGAGTTCCTGTTATGGGGTGGGGACCAATCTAATGGGACCTCCCCCCACAGCACCCACTGTCTGCCCCAGGTGGGGTCTCCAGCCTGGAGTGGCTTCAGAGGGCAGAGCTGTGTCCATAGTATCTGCGGTGTTTGACCATGGCCTTCCTGATGGGACATGCATTACAGGGTGGGGCCTGGGGGCTGGGGTGGGGGTTTGCAGTAGCTGCCAGCAAAAGGCAGAAGGGTCAGGTGCCCCCAGGACTCCAGGACAGGAGGCCAGGGACCTGGACTTCCTGGGGGACGATGAGGGGTGGGGGCTGCCCAGGCACAGTCACTGTTCCTGATGTCCCCTGCACAGGGTCAGATCCCCCTCCCTCAGCCTCCCCACTGCCTCCTCCCTACCCCACCTCCACCCCCCAGCGGCTTCTCCGAGTCAGCTTGGTGGTATATCTGGGTTCCCAGGCGGGTAGGACATGTTATCAGGAGACCAGCCCACGCCCACCTCCTGACCCCGGCTCCCCAGATTGGCGGTGCCTACCCTGGACTCCTGGTCAGGGGTCCTCTGGGTAGAACAGCCCAGTGGCAGGCAGGGAAGGGCATGAACTCCTCATTTAGAATCACGCTGGGAGGAGGGGGAACATCGCGGGGTGACCAGATCTAACCAGGGTGCAAACCTAGCTTCCCCACCCCACCAGCCCCTTCCGCGGGGAACGGGGCGGAGCAAGAGTCAGATTTCAGGGGTGTCATGAGACCCAGGTCCGTGGGGAGCTCAACCGCGCCACCGTGCGGCTATGTGCGGGACTGCAGGAGGGCCTGGGCCTAGCGCTCTGTGACTAGGTGACCAGTGGGGCGGGAGGTGGGGGCAGAGGCCTGGCCTGGACTGTGCAGGAGCACAGAGGACAACGAAGACAGGTGGCCGCATCCTGAAGCGGGATAGCCGCGGGACACAGACACCCAGTTCTCAGAATTCCTTAGCACTCGGCTAGTTTTCAGTCCCTGGAATCCAGCGTGGGGAGGAAGCAGGGCCCCGGAGCCTGGACTTAGTCTGGGGCACACGGTGGGGCATGGTGCGCGCTGGGACCCCGCAGGCCCTGGAGGCAGGGGGTGGTGATGTGACCACGCTGACCCCTCTGTGCTTTGGGTGCCGGCATGGTGCTCTGTGTGTGGGGTCTTCCCCTGCCATAGGCCTGGGCAGGCTGTTGGCGGGGTACAGGGGGGAAAGGCCTGCCCAGGGAGGCCGCTGGCCAGGACACTTCAAGGGGTCCACTTCCTGAGGCCACAGAGCGCCCTTGTGTCCCTCCAACACCTATTCCTGAAGGGCTTTGTCTGCCTCAATGCAGCCCGTGTGTACCAGTGCTGACCGAGCCTCGCTCAGGGACAGGAGCCTGCTTCCCTACTGGGGATACACCTGGAGGCTCCTTCATCTCTGCACCCCAGCCTCCAGCACGGGCTCAGACCTGCTCCAAGTCCCTCAGACAGGGGCTGCTCCAGAGGGGGAGGGCCCTGTCTGTTCACCCCAAGTCCCTGCCAGGGTGTGGGGGCCTCAGATGGAGGCAGCGGC